TCATTTAATTTTATCAAGATATCAGTTAGTAAGATTAATTTATAATTTAAGACAGAAATCATAAGCACAGAGGGACGGACAAGGAACGAAGTGCTTTCAAAGATAGTTTCGTAAAAGCAGACTAATTTCCCTTCCGTTTGGGTTCCCAGTTATCCTATATTTCGTAATAATCACCGTGTACATTGTATTTGAAAACAAGCTTTTCTATGCAGATAATAATTTTTTTTTACTAAAGCATATTCTACACACTTCATTTAGTCAAACTAAATCGACTCTTTAAAGAAGCCCCAAAAGTAGGATTGAAATCAATAGAGATTAAATACAGGTCATCAGAATAATCAACAACAACCAGGATCTGCCCACACAGCTAAAAGGAGAAAATAAACGAGAAACAAAATCTGACGTCTGGGAGGCTCGAACAATAAAGAGGTAAAATCAGACGAGGACATAAAATGTAGTATCAACAAGGTCAGGTGCACCTATAACTCGTTATACCTGAAACGGAATAGCATAGCTTTGTCACCCCAAATTCAAGATAAAATCTTCAATAGAAATGTAACGGCAATATTGCCTAATGGTTCGGGGATCAGGAAGGTACGACGGCAAACAGTGGCGTAGCCAGGAATTGGTCATAGGAGGGGTTCAAACATTTTTCCATATGTATACAATCCTATATATATATATATATATATATATATATATATATATATATATATATATATATATATATATATATATATATACATATATACACATATATATATATATATATATATATATATATATATATATATATATATATAGGCCTAGGGTCAGCAACATCACATAAATTATTCTACTTTCTTGACTGTGTTTGTTTAGAGTCGCATAAAGAAATATAGATCACTGTGTACGCCTATCTATCCCCACATAACCCTCAAAGAACCACGACTGACCGATTTTAAATGACTTTAGTGTAAGTCAGACTTAACACAACAGTTTGCAGAAGTTTTAATTAAATTTATATACGAAAAGTTTCATTATTTTTCATAGTTAAAAGCCCCCCCCCCCCTGATTTAGAGCATTTACGAAAAGCAGATGCATTATATGTAAATCTAGCATGATTATAAATCGGAACTTTTATTAATTTCAAGTTTGCTACATTACATACGGGGTAGCTTAAATGTATATGCAACATATGAAGCAGCACATACGAAAATATAGAGCACACGATGAGTAAATTACAAGAGTGGAGATCGGCTACTGGGTTCATGTCCAATGTTAGCGAAAAGCTACGAAATATCTTATATACAAGGGAATGGAGTCCTAGGGATAAACATTGGTGTTGCCGCTTTAACAAATCACACAACTGCCTTTTGTTAGCGATCATTTGCCACACTTTATAGCTCAATTATGACTTGTTCTAGCTATATTTCGCATATCTTTATGAGAATAAAACATAATAATTTATAATTTATATATAACTAAATCGTATAGCCTACTAGTTATATAAAATGAGATTTGTTTTGTGTGAAAAAAGAAAATAAATAAGCATAAATATAGAGGCTATGTGTTGAACATTTTAAACCGCAACAGAATGGGGAAAAATAAAAACGGAACATGATCAGAGCAGTTAACATAGCACTGTTTTCTACGTTATGTAAACAACAAGCCTGCCCGTGGCGCGTTGATATGGTTTAGTCCTACAAAATCGAGGGAAGTAAAATTTTATAAGGATTTCTTTAATCCATTGTAATGCATGTGAACTTTTTTTTTCTAAAAACCGAGTTACTTTGCTGTGAATAATAATTGATTTAGTAAATGTTTAAAGCAGCTCATAGTATCTATAATGTATGGCGCGCTTAAACAGAAGTTAAGCGTGAAAGGGCTCATGATCGAGTAACAAAATCGCCGGATAATGCGACTGACGTAATTTGAATGTTGATTGAAAGTGTCAGGCCTTCGCAATCAACGAATCTAGGGGTTAAGACAGCTATGGGGAACTCTATGCGGCAAACCTAACACTACCGCCCTTTCGAAATTAGATCTTTTTCTCTGAAACTTCTCAGGTGTAATCTTTTAAACTTCCTTGAGGTTCATGGCGATCGGATCAAAGGTCAAGTAATGTAGACCAAACAAACAAAAAACGCACACATATGTATACACGTTCCACACGCCTACATGTTATACAATTTATAAACAGCCCTTTAGCGGGACATCTGTTGTTCTTTAGCTTTACAAACCTCACAATATTTCTATACTTTTAATATTAGATATTAATTTAGTTTATTGCAACGAAGGAATTAGATATATTCATAGGCGGATCTTAACGTTATGCTAGTCTAGGAGTAAGGACTAAAAAATGTCTTTCAACGAACCACACGAGGTGGTTCGTGTATGATTTACTTTTCTTCTTCAATACTTCAATACTATTTTTTTTTCTTCTATAACTATAAATGTGAGAGAAAAGTCACTTTCCAAAAATATGTTATTAGGAGGAGTTGTTCTACTTCATATCGCGCCGCTAGCTCAAAACCAAAACATAATTTTCTATTTAGCACAAATAGCGCAGACCCACATCCGTACACGTACAAACATACATACAAGTAGTTAATAAAACTAAAACAGAAGTATTTAGTAACGCGCTCACACGTTCACTCGTCCGTTGATTTTGTTTTTTTAAATTATTTTTACACATATGGTTAAGTAATGCAGATTGTAAAATTAATAACTGTAAGCAAATAGTCGTTTGCACATCCCGCATGCCTATAGTTATTGTTTTGTGTCTTGTCAATTAGGTCATGTTAAAAACATGCAAAATCCAACATTAAAAGTATCAATACTCTGCGATAAGTAATAACTGCAAAATACCAATGTTATTTTACTAGTTACACGTTCAGCTAGAATAAAAAGCTACTCTTCCCAGCTTAAAGGTCCATGGGCAGTTGAATCAGAGTTTCTGTGACCTAGCATATAAAAATATTGTGTGGTCAGCACAGTGACCAGCGGCCATTACCTAGGGTTAAGTGAGACAGAAACCCAACAGAGCTGGATAAACAGATGATTATCCTACGAGTTCAAGACCTGGATTCGAACTCTAGACATTCCGATGAGCTCTTACATCTAACCACGCCGTCTGAATACAATCAGTTAAAACGATGATGACGAATTAGCTGTGCAGTAACGATGACAATGGAGATTAAGATGAGATTGCTGCTAAGAATTTCTCAGGTGGTGCAGCATATTCAGCATAATTAAAGATAACGACAAAAGAACTCCATATTTTTCTTTATTGTGTTCCGAATGACTTGTCTCGAAATGACGATTTAGTTTTGAAAGTTTCATAGGCTTACGACAAGAACCACTTTGCACAATAGGCACTTTTCCTTCTCTAATCTATTTCCAGTGATGTTAGTAAAGAAGAATTTCAGATTTTCTTGTAAATATTTATGGTTTTTTTTCACTGCTAGGGTTCAGCCAACCAGTTGGTAACCCTCAGAGAGCCCTTGGAGACCCCCCCCCCTCCGTCGGTCGCGAACTACAGTTTGGGAACCCATGATCTATAAAATATAATATACTAGCGTAACCGTCCCCCGCGCGTTGCCGCGGGGATAGAAGAAAGTTTGACGAAATATATTAGAAGGATTTCACCTTGAATGTACATTAATCACTCACCGAAATAATGTGGTAGAACACACTTCGGTGACCGCCCAAGTGTCAGGGACGTAGAGGGGCGCTCTCAGGAGCCCCCTCCCCCTATTACACTACCGCATAGGCGCGGCGTACGACCACTGGCTCCTTAAAACTAAGATCGTGCCAAATAGCATCCTGTTAACAATGATGCAAATTGCGTCATTCGCTAAAGTGACACAAATGTACAGGATTTGTTATTTAAAACGTAAAAAACTATTAGACGTGTTTTAAACATCAGTTTGACTGATGCAATATGTTAGCGTTACTAATGGTCTAAAAATGGATGCTACTTGCATCATTCGCAAAGTGACGAAACTGGATTTTTTTACGGACAAAAAGAAACATCACCGTTAATAATCTAACCTTGGTTAATTTTTCTGATTATTAAAATAAAACGTATTACATTGCCCTCAGCGTCCCATGTGAGCCTTTGAGGGCAGAAACAGAACTTTTTATTTCAAGCAAAATCGCACCCCACCAGGTCGCCGAAGGACATGTCTGATTCAATTTAGTGAGCGTTTGTAACGCCCCATCCTATCACACTGTGTAGACCGAACTTGGTCGCAATAGCGCTCACGGGAAAGACCAGGGCGCCTAATCGCATCCTGTCGGGGGGCCGCAAATGCAAAATTAAATCCTCCCTACCCCCACCCCAGGAAACTTATCGGGAGTATTCATCAACTCCCTAAAGTTTTATGGCACCCGGATAAACTGCGTCAAACCGCAATCGTCTTTTATTTTTATATACCGTATAAAAGGAAAAATCGCACCCTCCCGTAGCGCCGCCCTTGCGAAATTACAAATTAGTTGATTAGTGTCCTAATCAACTTTCCAAAGTTTGATGGCGATCGAATGAACGCTGTAAAACCGCTATCGACGTTTATTTTAATATACCGTATATAGAGAGAAAACAATTCACTTTTAGTATTTTTATATACAGTACATTGAGGAAAATCGCACCCTCCCGTGGCGCAGCCCTTGTCAAATTAAAAATGATTTTTTTACAGAACCATTCCCTAGAGTGTTATAATGAACTCCTCAAAGTTTCATGGCTATCGGAGGAACGATGTCAAATCAAAATTGACTTTTAATTTATATACCGTATATTGAGAAAAAACAAATCGCGCCACCCCTGCAAATTTGAATTTTTTTTTCCGCAGAAACCTCCCTAGAAATATTTTCAACAACTTCCCGAAGTTTCACGGCGATGTGATAAGAGGTGTGGTAATGCGTAATAGACACACACACATACATTGCTTTTTATATAGATAGATAGATTTATAACATGATAAGTGTAGTTTTTCAATAAACTTTATATTGTTTTATTTCAGAAACCATTATTGATAATTTCACTTAATACATTAGAAAATTATAAACATGAATTAAAATAAATAACAATACTTATTTCTAAAATTTTGTTTTTCTTAGATCTGATGTACTAAATGATTTTTAATTATATTCATGGCTAATACAAATAGCCTAAATCGTTGTAGATTGTGTCAACAATGTTATCTTTAACGGAACACAGATTTTCTTTGCCAAGTTTTTTATTTATACGTTCGCAAAAATCTGCATACTTGACGCCAAGCACCAGTTTTGTCAAGTTTTTTAAACTACTGAATGTTTCAAGCGGTGCAGTGAACTCTGTGCCGCTGAGGTATATTTCTTTAAGATTAGGGGTGTTTTTAAAAGCAGTTGCCGTCACTTGCATGTTTGGATGTGAGTTATTAAACAAGAACAGCTGTTCTAGTTTAGAGTTTGCCGGAAAGCTATTTTCGCCTATAGAATCGATTTTGTTAGAAGATAAAACCAATTGAACTACAAGGAACGGTATGTTTCTTATTTGACAAATTTTGTTATAAGACAAGTGTAGCTGGGTTAAAGATTCTGGCATTTTATTTATCTCGGAGATATTGTTACGGTGAAGCGTGAGAAAACGAATCGAATTCGGTAAATTTTCGATTTTCTTTATTTTGTTACGATTTAAGTACAGTTCGTATTTGCTGTTAGTGTTAGGTAGGTTCTCGATTTTTGTTATGGAGTTGTTAAAAAAACTTATTTTTGTAGCAGATTGAAAATTTGTTATTTTTGGCATTTTTGTAAGGCATGAAGACTCAATTATTAGCCAGGTATCCAGATTTTTAAACTGCAGATTAGACTGGCCATTCAGTGTTGAGTTTACAATGTTTACGTGTAAAGGTTTACTCAAATAGCTAAACGAAGCCGTGATATTGTTGAGCTGCACACCGTTTAGTGTTAGCCAAACGAGAGAATCTGCCGAATCATTCCAGGCGTAGTCATTAATTTTTGCTCCATTTGAGAATATTTCCAATAACGATGTTTTAGGAATGCAGTTGTCAGGGAAAACCGTTTGCGCGTCAGCCTGCAAATAATTTTTTTTTTTTTAAATATTATATGAACATATTTAACACTACGATCAAATATTGAACTCTCAATTAATGAAAATCAATTATTATTTAAATATTTTTCTTAGAACGTGGTAGCACTAAAATATATCGGCCAATACTATAATTTTAAAGACATCCCAATAAAGTGGAAAAAAAATACAGCCCGATGTTCCACAAGGATTAACGTTTATTAAGTCAAGTAATTCATCCTAATCAACTTGTTATTTTTACGACTACATTAATAATTTATTGTGTAGCTAGTATAAACTTTCAACATGATAATTTCAAATAAGCACAAAATGTATAAATCTTAATACCAATACACATTAAAATGCCTAGAATTCAAAGAGTAATCTACTCATTTTTCTCTTTCATTTTAATACACGCTTTAATAGATTCACTAAAAGAAGAAAACGAATGTTTTTTTTTTTGAAATATGTAACGATATTGTAACTGTAGATAACTGTATTGAAATGTATGTAAATCTTATAACAATTATGACATCTATAAAACAATTTGAATTCAGACCCCACCCTATCCTCACCAGCCACTCGCACCCTCCCTCCCTTTTCTTAGGTTTAGAGTCCGTTTTCAATTATAAGATTATATCACAGACTATTTCCTCTGTCGTCAATCTGTCGATAGTCTGTCTGTCGACATAACCGAAACTTGCGAGCAAAAGTTCGGGTATTCCTGACAGATTCGTTTCGAACTTGGCAATTGGATCAAGACTTTAAAGACAATGCATTCTAATATCAAATTTGACTTAATTGGATGCCTAATTAATGTTTTTTGAACTAATCAAAATTTTCTGAAATTGTAAGGCAGACTTGTGCTACTCTTTCCGCAGCTTAGGTCCCTTCCTAAATATTAGTAAAGGTATCATATTCATATTATAGCAACCTACGCTTTTCTTTATACTTATTTAAATAATATAATATTATAATATATTTAAACAAAATAATTCATTTTCTCCTTTTTAGTTTTTGTGCTTTTTTAACAAAAGCTTATTTAACTTTCTTCCTCTGTCGTCAGTCGTCAGTCTGTGTTCATAGATCGAAACGGGCGAGCAAAATTTCGGGCACTTCTAACTGACCAATTACCCTGAAATTTGGCACGTAGGTCAAGACCTAAAGACAATGTAATCTGACATTTAACTTAATGTAACTTAATTAGTTGCTAATGATTTGTATGAATTAATTACTTTTTTAGTAGGTAGTCCTATAATACTATTCATCACTTTCATACTCCCATTATCAGATTCATTTGGTGCGCAATAGTTTTTATAAATAATTTTCTTTAAATATATAATAACAAAGTACTATAACTGTAAAGAAAAGCGTTTTTATTTAAACGGTTTTAATGCATTATTTTTTAAAAGCTATTTTTTATGTTATTTTTCCCCCAGGTACAAACGGTATAAAGATTCTTACAAAAAATATATCAAACTCCGTATGGGAGGCTCGCTCTCAAGTAAAAGTGTGAAATTAGGGAGAACAGGTTTTTTTAGCGCGTCCCGACATATTTTTGCCATACTTGTAGAAAGCTAAAATGTTTAGTTAAAAGGCGGCTTTTTTAGTCGGCAGCTCGCCCGTAAGTATAGATTTCTTAGATGTCTATATAGAGGAGAACCCGACTCTCATTATGGTCATTATGGAAAAATCCATAACTCTAATGCTTCTTACCGGAGGACCGCTGGTACAGAAATAATCATGACTTACCGATAAATTAATCATGAATTTTTTTTACCTGAATGCTTAAGTGCGTGCTAGATGGAAGTTTATTTATGGAAGTCGTTGAATTCACCCAACATTGCTCCACGCCCAATTGACTACATTGGCAAATCTGGAGGTGAAAAAATACACGTCCATAGTTTATCCCTGTTAAAATTTATTTCAGCACTAATGCTCCTTATTCTCTGGATCGAAATAATATGAATTCTTAAATTGAATTAATTAGATGATCGAAATAGGATGGTAAGAGAAACTGAGATTTTTCACCTCATGACAGATGTGTTTCTCTTTCACTTCCTTTTTTTCTCCTTCATGCTCGTCAGGTTCCCCGAGCGTGTTAATTATCCTGAATAATTTTTAAAGTAACATTTTTAAAAGAAAATCTTTTAAATGTACTAAGATTATTTACTTACTATATATATATATATATATATATATATATATATATATATATATATATATATATATCTATTGCCTGGAAACAACCTTGAAAACAAAAACCCTTGATTCTCTTAATCTGAATTAGAGTCATAATAATTATGAGGCGGTTTGTTTCTAACGAGAACCTCATGTGAATAATAAATATATAAATAATTAAACAAACGTAAAAAATAGCTACTATCTATAGCTATTGGCATGCTTTGAAAATTTCGCTCTTTTTAGTTTGTGGCAGGTAACAAAAAAAAAATGGCAATGTCTGCTAAGGTTCGGCACTCATACCGCCTGTGTAATTAGCTTGAAACTTTAACGAATTGTTGAAAAATATATTGTATTATTTAGCATTCTCTCTGTAATCATAAAGTAAAATCTTGTTTAATTAAATTATATCCTAATTTCCAATTTAAAACAAAATAGAGATTAAATGCAGTATTTAAGGCCTAAAATCAGTGTTTCTTCCAGACTTTTTTCTCCGGGGGGGGGGGGGGCACTTGAAATTTTCGGGGGGGGGGGGGGCGTAGACTTACTTCGGGGGGGGGGAGGGGGGCGGACAATGTTAAAAGTATATATTTTATATGTAAATTATATAAATTTCATTTCGTTCGGGGGGTGCGGGGTGGGGCGGTAGAAGTTTTTCGGGGGGGGGGGGGGGTGGGGCTCTGAAATAGTTCAGTAAAAAACTTCGCAGCCATCTTTATTTTAAAACAAAGCAGTGCTAGTGTAGTGATGTCACTGCTGACCTTTGCAATGACCCATTTCTTAAGGTCTATTCGGCTTCTTACACGTTGTCGATAAGTAGATAGTATTCATGTACAGACGTTCATAAATTTATGTTTATATATGTTTATATAATAACACTTACAGGTTCAGATTTAGTGCCAGTACTATAACAAACAGTTGTGTCAAACTTTTGGTTGTCTTCATTGTACAGGTTTCCTCCAGCCTATTTTGTGTGGCGGCCGCTTGACGTGTCAATGTAATGTAAAGCATAGGCCAGTTCACGTAATCAGACAACGTGGTAGGGCCGGATTATAACTGGCTTCTAATTAGTTCATAGGCGTAACTGTTGGGTGGGTCAAAAGCAAACGCATCCCCAAAGTGTCCGCGTTTATCTGTCAATAATTTCAGATACATTTACTTGTTTCTTTTTTTCTACACATAAAGGAAACACAATGAAACAATGTAATATATGTATATATATATATATATATATATATATATATATATATATATATATATATATATATATATATATATATATACAATAAGCAAATAGAACATACATTTAAACATGTTTTTGCCCCCTTATTAACAACATCACTAGAGTTCAAACAATTTATTTACACACTTATGTACATGTGAATATTCCCTTAACAGTAAATCTGTTTTTTTTAGCATTAAACTCTTACTATTTTTGTGTATGTTAAATCAATGTATAACAAAGCAGTTAGACACGTCACCCCCACCCCCTTCTCCTCACCCCACCTCACACACACACACACATTCACATAACTAACAAGTTTTTGACTAAAACAAATTATAATTTCATCAACCCGTATATAGCTAAACTTGTTATTCTAATGTTGCAATTAGCTGTTGCAGGGGTTTATAATATAATAGATGTGTGCAGCAATTTATTTGCATTTGTTACCATAACAATATGATAAATAAGACGGAGAACAAACGTGGACTTAGACGTAATAAAACATTCGATATTGGTTTAGTTTTAACAAACAATTCTAATGCACTTAGCAGATTTACTGAGTGTTATATGTTTCTGCGCGTAGACATAGACATCTTTACACGCATACACATACATGTACACACAAACACGAACATTCACCATCACATACACACACTCGATCAGTTAATACTACTTCAACATCAGCTTTCAGAACCACGTTCTGACATTGCCATAATCAAGCACAAATCGACGCACAAATATTAATATTTCTCATATTTAAAAAAAGTAAGGAAAAAGGCTTTTATTACATTATAAAATAAGAAAAAAATATTCACTAACTAAAAAATGGAATAAAATGTAAATTATAAATTTAATTTAGTGTTACCTTATTAAAGCTATTTTCTAATATGACTAAAACTAAAAGCCTGGACGCTAAATAATTAAAAAAAAAGTAACATAGGTCTTCTGCTGTGTTATAGAAGTGAAAAAACCTATAACTCGCATCGGTGAACGCCCAGGCTGAACTTTTAAAAAGTTACCCTCTCGAAATGACTGTCCAGGTGTTTCTTTGTGGAGATAAGATGCTCGGCTGTATGCCCAGTCGCCTTTATTTTCACGAGCTTGATTGAGAGTTCGATGAATGCACGGATGTTCTACGGCTTCAAGTCCGGTATTCGAACTCGAGACTTTGCATACGCACGGTCTACGATCCGACAACAATGTCTTATTAGAATCAGTTGGAACGATGGTGATGCCGAAAAGGTTGACAATGGAGATTAAGATGAGATTGTTGCTGAAAAGAAAATTATTGCTCTTCTAAAAGGACTTCAGTCGGCATCGGACGTAACTTCTGCTACTTCAGATAAAGCCGTTTACGTAACTGCTATTTTAAGCACGTCTTGACTTACTCGACTTAACATAGGCACTTGCCTTGTATTTCTTAATAATTCTATATTCGGCACTTTGTCTGCCACCTCAAAATCTGTCTAAGGCATTTTTCCATGAAGGTCTGTATCTTCTATTTGCTTGTCTTTGAGACTCGCCATGCCTCTAAGCACGTCTTAGACTTAGTTGTATATTAGAAATACTTCTTTGCTATTCCTTGTTCCTAATAGTCATTTATGTTTACGTTTATTGTTCCGTTTGCGTTATTGTTTGAGTCTAGGGTTGCTTTTAAATTGTCGTTTACGTTTAGATTTATGTTTATGTTTTCGCTTATATTCCCTTCTACGTGTATGTTTATATTCATGTTTTCGCTTATTTTCGTCTTCAAGTTTCCGTTTAAGTTTGCATTTATGTTTCTGTTTATGTTTCCAATTACGTTTGCGTTTGATTTTATGTTTTCGTTAATTAAGTAGTGTTGATATTTTTGTATATGTTTTTATTTGCTTTATGTTTCGTTATTTTATTTATTGATTGCGTTCATGTTTGTCATTGCGTTTATGTTTTCTTATAAGTTTGTTTTTACGCTAAGATTTGAGTTTGTTTATGTTTATATTTGCGTTTATTTTCGTGTTTTTGCTTGTGCTTTTAAGCTTCTGTCGTATGATGTTGAAGGTGTCTGATCATTGTGCTGCGGATCCTTCCGCTTTGTCTTGAAGATTGAAAGACCTAGCTCACTATGTTAATTCAATTAGTTAAAGATTCATTAGGCTTTGTAATTTCGAGGGGGGGGGGGGGTGTCACTTTAAAATTTCGGGGTTAAAAGATATGTTAACAAAATGAATAGTACGTTCTTCTATTTCATTCAGGGGACTGGGTAGTGGAGAGGCTCTTGATTGGAATGGTATTCATCAGAATCCTTCCCAAACCTGCGCAATTTATTGTTTTAAACTCAAAATAATTTTTAAAAATAGGTCTTCTCTTTTATACTGTCAGTTTGACCTAGTGATCCCCTCATATTTTTTACTTCTCATCATAATTGATGAATGATTTAGGCTAGTATAGCTAACCAATGAGGAAATATTAGCAATTACTTTACATTCGAATCCAAGGTAATTTAAAGACTATTATTCGACTTCTTTATTTTGAACTACGTATCATTACTGAGTTATTTTATCTGAATGTATGTCTGTTGTTTGTTTTAATGAGTTCTCTTTGAGTGTTCTACATAGTCTCATGCTTTACTCACTGTCATATTTGCTATGCGAATAGTTGTTGATGATTTAATCTGACCCATCTTGCTAACAAACTTAATGAAATTATGTCGTTTTGAGTATTGCAACATGTGTTCTCCATCATGTTCATGTTTGCCTGGCTTCCCTACTGGGACATAGGCCGCTGACAAGAGCTTTCCAGACGTCTCTTTCCAGGGCTAGTCTCTCCAACTGTCCCCAGGTGTATCCAATCTTCTTGGTGTCTTCTTCCAGGTCACGTAATGGTGGTCGACCTGGTAGTTTCCAATACATATTGGCTTTCACCACCCGGCTTCATGAATTCTCCATCAGGAGATCCATTTTTCCCCTGGTCCAGGCTGTCTTTGTTTCTCTCTGTCTGCGTTTCTGTAGCGATAGTTGTTTTACGAGATAAGGTTGCTGACCTTATGCTCAACCCCCAACCTGGAGGACCAGGGTGCTAGCTTTCGTCTGACCCCTACCCGCGCAGACCTTCCCAGCTTGGTTGAACCTGCCAGGAGTTAACACTCCCACTGGTATAGCTCTGGGGGTCGTCAGGGTACGCAAGCTGCCAAGATGTGTTCTCCAGGAGTTGTATAAAAGATTATGTGCTCTTAAGGCTGCTACAAGTTGCAGTGATATGAAATAAAATCAATAAGAAATGTTGATGATTATGGCCCAGCAATATACTGCAGTGTACATTAGGCAGAAAAATTATAATCTTCAAGCATTCTACTTGGGCATTAGGTACGCTAATTTAAAAGTGCCCAGCATTCTACTTGGGCTCAGAGGTGTAGTGAACCCTCCTGGTGCCAGGGGCGAGCTTACAATTTGGCGCCCCCATATCTTCATGGCCTGTCTTTATATGTTCTATCTTTGGAACAGTGTCTGCTATGATGAAGTACATAGTTGAATTATACGTTTATTTGAATAAGGCCAAACAAGAGACATAGAATAGCAAACTATAAGAAACATTCATTGTACACATTAGAACTCAACATGGATATTTCGTTGACTGGTTGATTGTATAATGAAACAAGCTAGAGGAAACAAACTGGAATCTAACGAACACAACAGCTCGAAGTCTTGGATTTCGCAGATGTGCGCTGTCTGTTCGCACATAGTCAACAACAAATGCAGAATACATTATACTGGTTGAAGAAGCAGTTATAGCAGTAATAGCAGTAATAGCAGTAATAGCCGGTTTGATGAAAGTGACACCGCCTATGACGTTCAGAATAGAATCAGCAGCGAAAAAAAAAATTGGGGTCTCCAGGCTGCTGCTTTATTGCCCTCCCCCCCACCTCTTTAATCCCTCATTTGCTGACGATGTGTGTTCGTTTGTATGTGTTTGCTTGCAAGTGTGTCTGAGTGCGTAGGTGCAAGAACACCTTAACATAACATTCTTTCTAACAATAAACTGGTTCATACTTAATGCTCACTTGATCGTTAGAATTGTAGCTGTAAGCCAACCAGAGTTAAGGTATGAAAAATATTGAAATTTAATAATAACACTGCAATGGAATTTATTAAATTATGTTGTATAAGACCCAATTGACGTTTTACTGATATTGCGTATCTAACAAAACAAATATTATTTTTCAACACTAATTATTACAACACTCATACATATCTTGTTCAATACTGCTCTGAAATCTTAGATGTTTTTTTTTTTTACTTGATAACCTGGGTATAGCAGTCATTAATTAGGGCATTTGTTAGAATAGCTTTAACGGCCGTCAATTTCGTCAATTGTTAGAATAGCTATAATGGCCATCCACTAATTCTACAGTGTACCTAGTTGTAAAGACCGTCCATTACGGCACTTTTAAAACAAGATATATCGACCATCTACTACGTCAATAGTGAACCTGGCTGTAATGGCCGTCCACTACGTCACACTATAACCCTTTCTAAAATGGCCGTCCACTTCGTCATTTGCAAATTACAGGTAATAAATCTTCTGTGTAACAATGAATATAGAATATAACATTGAATAGAAAATTCTACATTTCTCACATTTAATTAAACAACTGATTAATTAATTAAATGAACACGTATTACAAAGATCTAGCCGGTCGATAAATGATACGTGTCGAACTACCATTGTTATCTTTCTAATATTAGCTTGACATACATAGGCGGTTCCAAATGAAAAGTAAGTGGGTGGCTTAT